GTTCTTTTTTTTCTCCTTTGCTGTGGCTGTTCCTTTCATTTTAAGCAGTCTTCAACACGTGCTGAACTGTACACCCACTGATAGGGAACATGAGCTGGATTTAGACCCTAATGAGACTGCATCAGTAATTAATCCTACTGATTGCTTTAATAGTAATCCTACTCAGAACAAGAGGAACCTACAGTAAGGTTCAGAAATCTGGGCATGTGCTTGGCTGAGGTAATTGTGGCAATTGTGTCAGTTGAGTTATGACTGATACCTCTAAATCAGAATCCTCCTTAAAATGTAGGATGAGGTGTATGAGCCTTCAGTGTTGGCCAGTTCTTCTTGTGTATGGAAGGAGGTTTCATTTAAGCTTTATTTGCTGATTTTGGCAAACCTATGCCTGTCCTATTTTTTAGTGACCAAAATTCAATGGTGCACAAGAGAAAAAACACCCAACAGTGCTCAGTTTTGGCAGCAACACTCCATGCAGCCTTTGGGAGCTGCAGTTGTTACAAATATATAAGTGAATCCTCCAAATGTTACAATTCTTTTTCTGGGCGGCTTCATATGCTTCCTCAGATCTGGGTTGATACAGTACATATGCAATTTGTCAAATGCTAGTACCATAGTCAAATGGAGTCTTGTTACCTTAAATGAATGGACTGTGAAAGCTGTAGCAGTGTCACATTGTGACATTCCTGCCACTGGAATTTCCAGAGCACAATCCTGCATTTCTTCACAGAGCTGTCCTGTATTGTCGCACTGTGATAAAAAATGCTAAACCAGAGAATATTTCTTGCTTGCTTTCTTATCATACCTGGGTTTTCACTCTTTTTGCTACTCGGGTGGTAATTTGTTTCTGCACTACAGTCATATTAACAACCTCACATACAGTAATTTCACATCCACACAGGATAATCGGTTAGACTAGCATAATTAATAATTTGGGGTGAAAATTAAGGGGAATTGAGGCATGTGGTGTTATGGGAACTGCGTAAGGTAGCAATAAAACCCAATTAATAATAGTTTTATTGCTTTTATTTTATTCCTGACCTAAATTGCTCTTAGTATTCATTATTATTCTCTTAGTTATTTCTGCTTATAATGTCATTTACCTTGTTGTTGTAGGAAATCAAAGAAATTCTGAAACATCTGTAACCTCTATGTGAATAAATAGTAGTAGGAAACCTAATAGTGTGCACATCTTTTTAGCCATATTAGAATTGTCCAATTTTATTATGACTTTTTAGCCACACATATAAGTGATTAAAATAAAGATTTTGAAGTTTAAAAATACATATTAAATGAAAAAATTGGGTTTTGCTTGGCTTTAGAAAGTTGATAGATCAAAATACATTTAGAATTAGAGAATATAAAGTGGCATTTCTGTGTTAGTGCAGTACATAATATTAACTGGAACTGGAAGGAATACAGTAAGTTTATTTTTATATACGAACTATATACTGTAAGCTGTGAAAATGAATAGATTTCATTCTGTCAATCAGAAATTGTTGGTATCAACCTTTAATGTGCAATTAGTGTTACTAAATTTCAATCATATATCAGACTTTACTGTTTTTTACTGAGCCTCTGTGCTTTCAATCCTGGAGGCTATATCATTGTGTCCTGAAGTTACTAAAGCCTTTTATAGGCATGGGGTCATAGAACTGGAATACATGGAATTTCTATAGATAAAAGGGTTACTGTTTGTCACAGAAGTAGCTAAAGGGATTTCAAATAATAATCACATTTACAGTGAACTGATTTCTTTAATACTGTAGTTTAGAAGGAATTATGTGAACTTCAAACTGTCACAAAATCAGGAATTTTTACATTAAAGAAAACAGCTGCTGTAAGACACCATACAGTGTGAAAACACTGGACTATCTTGTCTGCCTGGGCTAAGCGGTAGCTCTTTTATCTTATGTCTGCTTTAAATAGTATTGTCCGCACATGTTGTATGATGCAGTCACAGATTGGGCAGTCAATTACATGCAAAGAGCCTGTACCTAACAAACCTGCCTGTCAGTGTACATTACGCAGTACATAAGAATACGTAAGTCATCTCCAGTTCCCTAGAAGTGCTTTATCCATTATGTAACACATTTAAAAATGTTTGGTTACAGTCTGCCCATGCTTCAGATTGTAAGGCCTGTACTGTTGGGATCAACGTGCTCTCTGAAAAACATTTACTGTTTTTTAATTTTAACTTGTAAGTTTTGTGTAGGAAAATAATTTCATTTAAATTAAATTACAATTACAATTACCTATGTATTCTGTTAATAACATCAAATAATTTAAATAAAATGATACAAGGATTTCAAAGGTTTATATGGGACTGACGCAATGTACTTACACATTGTTGGTTAGAAGATTTTCCTGTCAACACTGAACTGAAAGCAGTTAGAAGATGAAAGATTTACCATAATATTTACATGATTCTGTGAACTTTTGAGCATTTGAATTAAAATTCATTAGGTTAAGTAAGTGAAGGACATACAGGAAATTATTCAGGAAAAGGCATTTTCACAGACCATAGTGAGCCATAATCATTCATGGAGACTAAGTTGTTTAGATTTGCAAATGAATCAAGTGGTGAGCTTCATCAGTATGCAAGCTGCAAAAGAACATGTAGAGGTTAAATGCTTAAAGTAGAAAGTTGTTTCAGCTATGGAGTCTTCTGCAGATGTGTGTAGGCTGTGTTTATTCTTCTTTCTACGTATCAGCATGGAAATCTAAACTTGTAGATTTATAATAGCCTAACTTTGCTGTGAAAGTGATGGTTTGTGATTTAAAGTTTAACTTAAATTGAAGGAAAAACAACCAAAACCTGAAAAAAATGCAGACCAGTTCTTGTTTTAGAACAGTTCAAGGTGTCTTCCATCACAGCAAACATTTACCAGCAAAAGAAAAATACAAGCAATTGTGAAGCGTCAGAGAAAAATGCCCCATATCCTCTCTGCTGTAGACCTACCTGTAGACAAAATGTTTGTGAGATATGTATAATCAGGCATTTTTGTGGGCCTTATTTAAACAATGACACATCTAAACTGACCCAGTTTCTGTTTGTAATTAGAAATTGATTCTACCTTCTTTAAAAGTCTTCACAATCAAAATACACTATTCCATTAGACTTTAAGTAATCTTTGTGTCATGAAGTATAGGTCATTCTGCAAATTATGCAGATGTCTGACACAGAAATAAATATTGTAACACAACAGGGGCTCAGGCAGGCGCCCTTGCCGCATTAGGTCGGCCCCATCCCGACTGAGGCTCGAACCCGGGACTCCCACGTCTCTCTGCAGCGACCTAGCCCCGTGAGCTAAAGAGAGATCTCTCTACAGCCCAGTAGCTGTAGTCCTGCTATCACAGGGAAGGGCGGTGACGTCACCTGCTCTGGTACGCCGGCTCTTACACAGTGCCTGTCGGCCGTAAGCGTTACAATATCCCACTTTGTGTTCTTGCAAGACATCCCAAGAAACTTTTACAGAGAAACTTATTTATAAATAACTTAAAAGGAACATCTTTTAAGAATATACAGTAAATAAGAATATTAATTATATCTGGTTCTTTCACAACCCTAGAAAGCAGAACCACCTAAGCAGATTAAATTTTAATCTACAAATATAAAAATCAAACTTAACAGCAAAAGTCAAAACAGCTGTCTGTGGCTGACAATCTGGAATTCCTATCATGTTATATGCTTTTATAGCTGCTTTTTAGCATTATGAAATGGCCAGAACTAACATTTACATTCCCGGAATCTGTAGTGACTGCTTGCTCTTAAAATAAACCATAGCTCTGAAAGGTGTTCCTTGTAAAATATTGTAACACAGGTGGGGGGATGGTCTGTTGGGGAATGGAATTTTAAATGGCAGGCCCTAAATTTATCAGGTGTCAACAGGACTATAATTTAAACTGACATGCAGTTGTGGTTATTAACAGAATTACAGCACTCATTGTTTTAAGGATACAGGTTACCAAAAATCCAGGTCCGTTCATAAAGTATGTAATTTAGTGTCTTCAAGAGTTTCTTCATGTGTTTACTGTAGACATTCTTGTTCCTTTCAGTCTTTATCCCACATGTTATCGCACTAGCAATCCCTGACTGCAGGGGTTGGAATTATTCAGCTTTAAAATTTGTTTGCATAGCTAGCTGGTATCAGGACCTAATTCCATTTGATTCAATTAAAGAAATTTTAACACCACGAAAGTTTGTAACTATAAGTCTGTATTATGAGAAATTACAGTACTTTGGAAAATGTAAAAATGTTATGTGAGCTAATTTTTAATTTAGTTTTTTTTTTTTCAAACATAACAAGTCCAATACATAACATTACACCACTGCCACAACTCTCTTGGTTCATATCCCACTCCAGATTCCCTACCTATGAGCCTTAAAAATAAAGTCATACTGTATGTCCACAGCAGATACTGTAACAGCTCTGACAGTAAGGTTTTGAGGCATACAGCCTGGTACATGAGCAACATTTCTGAAATCAACTCTTGTTAATGGTACTGTAGTATGTATTCCTTCAAGCAAAAAGTCAACTGGAGTCAGATAAGATTCAGGAGTACTGCCTTCAGTGTGAAGCGATTTACCTTATATAAATTCTTGAACTGCTCCCCTAACTCAGAGAACCTGTAGGTTACCTGCCACTTGAAGAGATACAGTGTAGACTACTGTATATGAAGAGATTGGAGAAACCTCATGCACTTTTATTGGCCAACCGATGTTTGAACTGTGTGTTTTACATATAAAAGGACAAATGTGAGCTTTTTCTGAATAGCGTCTAACAGGAATACAGTACCACTTAATATGATTCAAACATATTTTAGAAAATCCATATTGGTTTTTCGTTTGGTGGGTTTAGATTTATGCAGGTGTGATGTAAATACAATAAAATGCTCCTTAATTAAGCCTATAATTGTGTCCTTCATGTACTATATGTAGCTTGAAACTGCTTTTGAAACATTTGTTGAACACTTTTATGCACTTCTCTTTATTTTCACAGAAACTGGTGTGCGTATGTGGCTACGCGGACAGTGAGCTGTGTTGTTGAGGATGGTGTGGAGACCTATGTGAAGCCAGACTACCAGCCCTGCTCCTGGGGACAAATTCAGTGTTCCCGTGTGGTGACGTGAGTAGCCCATTATATCTTATAGTTATTTCAAACTGATATCAGATTCTCTGAAAACTCACATAATGTATACTGTAGCAACACAGAGACGTACTGTATTGGGAGTGAATTGAAAATTTTAAAATTCTGAAGATTTTGTTTTATATGCTGTACATGGGTATTCAAAAATGAAGTTAAAAAAGGCAGATTTATTATGATCTGGCCCATTTCTTAAATACTCAGTACAGTTTACTTCATTCAAGATGTAGATTTACAAGTTT